ATTCAAAGTTGCAGATAACAAGTCTCTTGACAGAGAGCATTTTGCAATTTAAAAAAAGGTCAACTGAGATATCAACTCAGTAAAGTGGCACATTAGGAACAGAGCAGCTTCCCCTGCATAAACGTAAGCTTAAAAGTGAAAAAAACAACAAACCTCAAATCACTGTAGCTCTCTAAAACAGACTTCTCAATTCTCTGATTTTTAAGGAAACATAGTAGTTTTCATGCTTTGATCTTTTTATATATATAGCTGTTACTGATACTTCCTCAATTTCACACAGTTTTGGCACATATAATTAACTTCACTACATTCTTAAACACCCATTAAAATACAGTACAGACTTAAGTCTTTTACATTTGAAGCCGGGATAGAAATATTTCATTAATCTCATTTTTCCAGATGTTAATTTTTTGCTTTGCAGGTTGCAAGGTGAGTTTTGCAACACTCTGAAAGTCATGTTAAGCATCCTGAGATGAAGTGACAGATGCATGCCTCTTCTGTAACTTAATAGTGTGACTATTAGAGTTAGTTATTTTCTTATTGATCTTTTTTCTTCAAAACTTCAGTAACACTGCATGGGCAGGCCTAACTAGGAAAGTTTAAGGGCAGGACTGCTAACTTCAAGAATGGAAAGGAAAAAAAGAGTTAAAAATGCTTTACAATTTTACCATCCAATCAGCTTTGGTAGTTTAATGAAAGAAATAATAGCCTGTTTATGAACTTGGCAATTCTTCTGCAGAATAGCAACATTTTTTCACAGGCACTTAACTTTTCATACCAAAGTGCATGTGACAAGAAGCTTCACCAAAAATGTAAGTCTCTTAGCAAAGAAAAAAAACACACCTCTTGTAAACCTGCATGCATAAGTCTAAATTTTTTTTTTTTCCATTGCAGTTACAGAAGGATAGACAGCAGAGCTGCTCTGAAGCAGAAAAAGGCAATTAAATCGACAGGATTTTCAATACCATTATAATTTCAATTCTACAGGGAGATAGTCTTTCTCCCTCCAACTTTAACTTGCATACTGACTGAAAACTATTTGTTAAGCATTTGCAGACCGGTAGGCAAAAAAGAAAAGCGGATTTTGCAATAAACATCTCAAAAAGATTAAGACAGCAGAAAGCATCATACACTGAACAACTTCAGAGATTCAATACAATAATCTAGGAAAGTATGCAAGGGAAAAGATTCACGTAAAAGACAAGGAGATGAGTACACTTACTTGACTTGCTTACAAAAACAACTCATTTACTGATTTTCATGTTTTATCACTTGCTGCAAAGGGTTAAAAACCATTCACATGTAGCAGGTTCACCCTCTTCAGAAGTGCAAAGTAACACAAAGCAAATTCACCAAGGGATGACTGAAGACAGATCTGCTGTGTTACACGACAAACAGAAACTGACTAACACTGGATATCTCACAGATCAGAATTAGTCTGTGGACATTAAACTAGTCATTGCTGCCTAAGTACAATTAAGTAACACTTAAAACAGATGTCCCATTGTCCCTTAACTTCCTGCTTAGAACAACTCATTATTATAAAAAAAATAATGTAAGACTTACTGATCAGAACAAATACATATGCAAAGTCTTCAATTATTAAAAAGAAATTCTACATCTTCAAGAGTCACAAATGTGAATCCAGCATCTTCAAAAAACTGGTACTTCTTATACTAGCAACATGCAGGTCATAAGACAACATTCACATGTTTTATCTGTTCAGGGGTTCCCGAGACTAAGAATGACTCCACAGAAAGCCAACACTAGTAGCCAGTAAAAGACTTTCTGATTTTAATCTACTGCAACAATGTATAAAAAAGATTTTAATTAACAAATCAGTCTACCACACTATCTTTATAAAAGTAATAAATCACAAGCTTCTCTTGCTACAAGTACCTTTCTCTACAGTAAACAAACAATTTTGCAAAACACCTGGAAGTGATTAAATTCTCTTTATCTTCCATAACTGGTACAATTAAAACTTAGGTAACACTGAACCTTGCTAACTTTAAGTCTTCCTACTGTCCAGTCTGAGCAAAGGCAACCTGCTTAACCTCTCCATGTCAGTTTCTCCATCTCCAAGACAAAAAAAACCCCACCTATTTCAAAGAAAAGGCTGTAAAAACTACTTAAGTCATGAAATCACTAGAAAAAGTTTCTAGAGCAGTGTAAAGTGCAGTTCCACTCTGAAAAGTTACTCTAAAGAGTGGCATCAATTTTCAGGCTTTAAATTAAATTAGTATCATGTTTTTCTTTCACAACTAACAAAGCCTTCTTTCTCCAAACAATTAGCCTGTAGGTTTGTATAGAGTCTAACTGAATTTTTTCCACTTGAAGAGTACTGCTGTCATTAAAAATTAGGCAGATTATACTGAAAGTTATTTATAAAATTAGTTTGCAGAAGTGTAGTACTTGACTTTATTGCTTTGAACTGATAAATACCAAAATCCTTCTCAAAACCTATAAAAGTCTAATATTATCATAGCAAGAAGTCCTATTCTTGTCTTAAAATTATATATTTCAGCTTCAGAATGCCTGATTAAAAAGAACCCTATATTACAAAGAATGTGCAATTTACCATCTATTCATCATTTTATATATGTATTTGTGGAAAGTTTTAGTACACCTTAATTTTGAGTGGGTACTGCAATAATGTTTCCTTCTCTAAATTGGCCACAACTCAAAACATTATTAGTAGAATATAATTTTAAAAACAAACAAACAAAAGAACAAAAACAAAACAAACAAAAAAAAAACAAACAAAAAAACCCCCAAACCAAACCAAAAAAAGTACCTACAAAAGAAAACAATAAACAAGCATGAATTCATGATGTCACTTCAAAGTAAAAACAGGCAAACATTTGTGGGTTAAAGTCATTATCCTTTGTTTAAAAAGAGGATTATTTAAAAGTTTTGAGTAAGTCACTGCTCTCTACATACCAGTTCCTGATTTAACTGCCAGGCTTTACCAATATACGATTGTATGCTACTTGTAAATCCTTGCTCTGTATCTGAAAACAGCTGTGTCAAGGTGACCAAATCAAACTTTAAATTGACAACTTCCATACTTCTAAGAGAAGCTAAAAAATTTTAAGTTTCTTGAATACACATAACCTCACAAAGTATTTCATGAGCTGGGAAAGAGGAAATCAGAATTTCAAAGCTTCTACTTAAATGTTGCTGAAACTCCTAGCAATTTATGATAAATTCTAATATTAGCTCTAAACAAGTGAAAAAAGGCACCAAATTCAGCACTTAAAACAGCAAATGTCAGTCTTGACTTTTATATTACATTGGTAACCATAAACTATGCATGTGCTTCCACAGCTAAGGATTTCAAGATTACTAACACTATTGCTGAAGAGGTTAGGACTGTAGCATTTCAAAGGTGAGCGTTCAGTGGCCTACCATAACAGATCTAAAAAAACTAAGTCAACTAGCAGGTTAAATTACACCTTTGAAAGAAAAGATGTTAAGAGTCCATTTCTTTACAGATTGTATTAGAGACTCAAATATCTGGAGTCCAGCAATGCAACCACTTATGTTAAACAAATTATAACTATCCCATTTGCAAACTTCCACAGTGGCATGCCTAAATGTTGGTAACGCTATTTCAGGCTGACAAGGAAGGGACAAACAGATAAATATTCCCTAAAGTTGCTCTCTTCTGTATGTAAACTTCAGAAATGCAAGTCTCCATACTGTGAGGAAGCAGTAAAAATTATTCTCAGCTGCTAGGTTATGTCATCACTAATGAGACTGTTGCCTACTTGCTTCCTAAAAATGGGGTAAGTTTTCAGACAGAACAAACTTGAGCTACATTGCAAGCTTTTGATTTTTTATTTTTTTTTCCTGGGGAGAATAGTATTCAGAGCTACTCCAGGAGTTTAGTTTATAATTAAGTTTTCCAGATTTGATGCGGCTACTCTTCCCACTGACTGTCGGCAGATAACACCAAGATATACTAAAAAGGGCAGTGAAATTCATGTTGAGAATTAGTGAACTGAATTTATGCTTGCCATAATGTATGCCACATACCCAAACTGCTTGTGATGCAACCTCACATTCCTGAATGGCTTTCCACTTCCTGGAACTTCTATGCCAAGGAAACTCCTTAACAGAAATTTCCTACGATATTCTAGCAAAATAACTTTCAAGGGTAATAACAAGATCATGTACTTTTGTGAGGTTATCCACTACAGTTTGACTTGATAATAGCTTATTCATTATTTTCAGCACCTTTCTATGTGGCATTCTATTCTGAACCTGTGTGCTAAGCAACATGAAAGTGGAGAGCACTGCAGTTTTTTCTCTTATGCCCATGTTTAAAATTTACAATAGCCCACCAAATTTAATTGCCACTTGACAGCTGAAGTGCTTCATTTTCTTAAGAGTCCTTGTGAAAAACTGTCAAAGGTTATGAGTCAAAAAAAGGTCATAACTGTGACTTCTCCTTTTATTAATTTCTGGAAAGAAAACTGGCTGTTCCTACTGCATGATTATATAGACTTCAAATTATATGCAAAAACTGAAATAAATACTCTTGATACTGAAGCTGACTCACAATCCATCTTCCTTTTCTTAAGCATAAATATATCCACCAAGTTTGAAAGGGTCTAGTGAATTTTAATTAGATTGTATTTCGTAGTTACTGATCCCTTATTTCCTACATACACTTGATACATAGCTGCCAGTGTTGCTGAGTTACTACTGTTCGGTATCCATTTCAGAGGAGAACTGCACTTGGAAGTAGTAGTACTGAACAGCAGAATGTTTCAAAAATATATACAATTATATACACACACCTTTATTTTACAAACAACAAAAGATTTACAACACTTCTAAAATAGATCAGGTTTAACTGTCATACTTATCTGAGGGCAGTTGCATTCTGAATAGTGCAGCTTGAGACTGTTAGTAATTTCCTAGACCTGAAAGCAATGTACATAAGAAAAAGATTAAATATTTTAAGGATTTATACAAATGGTTTTGCTAACCTCGTACTGTCAGCTTGCTATATAACTGTGAGTTCATTTCCTTGTCTCTCTTGTAACGTCGATATTCATCAACAGCTTCCCGTACCACCGTGACTGTCAAAACAAATCCCTGTTAAAGACAGGATTATGCAATTCAGAATTCTCAGTGCTAGAATAGAAACACACACGTAGGAACACGGTACAGAGTAAGAACATGTGCTTAGAAGATGCACTTTCTTCTCTCATTTGGATTTTAGTTATTTCTTCAATTTGTTAAAATCGTACCTTGGACTACTCAGAAAAAAAAAAGAAGGAAAACAATACTTGTACAAATATAATTCCAATAGCTACATCTCCAAATACATGCAATTTAGATATCATTTGAAATTTAAAAAATTAAGATTCTTTGGAATCTTAATACTTCCCTATCTTCCACAAATTCCAGGGTTTTAGCAGAAAGTCTCAATTTCTAATACTGAATTCACTGCTTTTTTCCTAATAGACAAATACCAGATGGTTAGTTTAATTACTTTTGCCATTGTAAATGTAGTTATTTACCAGTATGTACAAATATTGACAAAGAAAAATCGGGTTTGTTCTGAAAAACCTAAGTATCTACATGCTTTTGCTACTACTTTCACAGGACAGTGCCACTGCAGCTTCTGCTGGAAGCACAGTGTGTTACATGCAACTAACACGATCTCTGGCTGGCCACAAACAACAGTAAAGCTAAAGAGACTACAGAGAGAATACAGAACAATTCATGGATGAGCATGTAAGAGTGTGCTTCCTCCTTTTCTCAATCTCCTCAGATATGTTCTTCTGGCTTCTTGAACTCAAGTAGTCAGTGAAAGGGAAATAAAACTTTCAAAAGAAAAGGGAACTTGTAATTACTGTGAGTAAGCAGTGCTCAAGATGGCTAAAGAATTCAAATATTCTTAAATCCTCCAAAGATAAGGTTTTAGAGATTCACACACCTACCAACACCTTTCTTCTCTAGAAGACAATTTATACTATTAAGACTTCTCTATAGTTCAATGCTGTACCAACCTTCCTCTAACACCCCAGCAAGAAGAAAGGAGTGAAGGTGCAATTTTTTTAAAGGTGTCTTGACTACAGTTCTCCTTTTCAATAGTAAGGGTTTTATAGTAGGGCCTTCAATAGTAAGCCTTGCAGTTTCAGCCATAAATTCCAAGCTTTATTCTGTTGCTTATAGTTAAACACTTACTTATTCAGGTTGACATTAGCTACAACAATTATATTAGAATTACATAGGAAAAAAAAAGTTCCTTTGCAAAATGCATTCCTCTTCACTCCTATGGCATAACTGAATGAGCAGTAGGGTTTTACCCTTTTCCAGCAACACTATTTTCATGAACTTCAGCAGTACAGATATTTTGGCAGCATAAAAAAAAGGCACTCCTGAAGCACCTTCAAATATGGCCATTTGCACCTATCTCATAAATAAGATAGTAATCTAAGCACAGAATGCAAGGTGTTAATTGCAATAATTTCCTCTAGTGGCACTGTACCTTGCTGGGCAGCTCAGTACAGCTGACAACATCTATGAGGAGAAATTTAAACAGGCATTTCCCTTCTTCCCCATTTGTTCAGAGGAACCTGATACTCTTCCAAAGGCAAGCTGAAATTGTGAAGCCAATCTCACAAAAAAGTGTCATCTTTCTTTAACTGGAAGCAGTTAAATATGCTTAGCATATTGCTTAAAATCAAACCTGTATGCTTTACATCCTTTGTATGGTGGACTTGAAATGAGAAATTCATTCCCTACTTGAAAATGACAACAAACCAGTAAAACACAGCTGTGTCTGAAGAATTCGTGCTTGTTATACAAACTGTTCAAGTAAACAAAAAACACCAACAAAACAGCCAACAAACAAAAAATACTTAAACCCCTCAAACCCCACCACCAACAACCCCCCCAAATCTTTTATCACATAGTCAAGGTACATTCAGTTGGTTTTAAGTATCAGAATGAACAATTTTTCCTTTAAAATCTTCAGAGAAAATACAAGCCAAGTCCTGGCTACTCCTTGATTATTACTGAAAATTTATCAGCAGTTACATGGTCTTCAAAGAAAACCAAACTCATCTCTTAAGCAAGACAGTCCAGTGGGTTTGACTTACATGTTTTATATCTGCATCACACATACTAAGCCTTACTCAACATGCAATTAGTCACTTTTACCTGGAGGTTAATCACCAGTAGAAAAACTACTCAAGTAGAAACAAGTGAGTTCAGAAAAACACGTACCCCTAGACCGAGACATTTTTTTGTATTTTCAAGGTGTATGTGAAGTGGGAAACCTAATTAAAAATATCCTTGAATAAGACAAACATCTAAACAGAACAGATTACTAGTATTTGCAAAATACATTATTTTCTCCCTTCTTTGTGCACGGCTAAGATGCTAAGTGGTTTTTTTCCTTACTACCCCACAAACATACAGAACTGTACAAGGCACTTTACTGTGAAGAGACCAACTTCCAGAACAGACCAACTTCTGTATTCTACTTGGTCAGTGATAAGGACCTTTGTCCATTTCAAATCCCACTGTTGAAAAACCTTTCTGTTTTGGAAGTTTTTTGTTCCAGCAGAAGCCAAAAGTTACCTGGTAATAGAAGCATGAAGAACCTCCAAGACAGCCTCTGTTTATCAATACTTAAAAGGATGTATGTTACAACTATTAAAACAATGAAATAAATAAAGAATATTTACTCTATTGACTTGTTAAGAACATCCTTTAGTGAAGCAGTCAGCATGTCACTGTTCCTCTTGAATGTCACCGAGAATAAATGCTACTGCAAAATACCATTTTAAAATAAATTTAGAAAACACCACAGTTGTTCTTCCTGCCTTGCTTTAAAGCCAGGGGTGGAGGGGCCAGGAAAAAGAAGATTAAAGAAAAGGTAATGATCTGGTTACAAATAAAACAATGTCCAAATCATATGAATATACAGGGAAGACTACAAAAAGGGTCTCCTCTAAAAAGAACACCATTTTCAAACCTTAGGAAACCTGAGTCAGAAGCAAATGGCTTGAACAGTTTCCCAAGAAAATACTGTAGAGGGCTCAATAATAAAGACATAAGGAAGCCAGTGCAACTGTCAGGACAATTAATCAAGAAAAGCACATTTAATGAGTAACTTATTTTCAAGATGCATTTTCCTCCTGCTTTAGCCACGGCTTAAAATATTTTCTCTATTTTTGTGAAAGCAGGACATGATCAAAACAGATACAGAAGGAACGGAAAAAATTTATTCCTTCAGTTCTGACCTAGCCAGGAAATACAAAATAGTGAGCAAATCATAAACTGAAGAACTTTAGCACACGAATCAGCTACGTTGCCAAATAAAGTTCTTTACTAGGCTGGAGGGCTTTTTTGTTTGTTTTTTTAAACCTCTCAAGTAACCAGCAGCCAGAAAGGCTCAAACTACCTGTTTAACCAAAATAATCTCCAGCCTGTGGGGCAGGAGTAGAGCAGGCATGTCAAGGGGAAAGGCTCTCAACACCTTCTGGAGTATCTGCTGTAAAATACTATAATGTCAAGTAAGTTACTTTACTGTTACACACTTTAACCACTATAGTTTACCAGATGCAAATTTATGAAATATACACATACATTTTTTTTGTTTTAATCTGAATTTAAAAAACAAAACAACTAGTTAATAGTATCTTTCTGTTTACCAGAGGAGCCCAGTACGTGTACAGGTAGCCTATTTTCAATGCTGGTACAAACTGTGAGCAGGACACGACGAGAAAATAGAGATTCAAGAAAAACTTGAATTGTTCATATAAAACCTAAAATGAAAAAACAAAATACATAGAAATGCCTTAAAATTTGTACCCATAACGTACATAAAATTAACTTCTTCATTGTAGTAGATATAAAAACATCATAAGGCATACTTATGCCATATTATATGTGGTACTTTTAGCACAATATGCTATATATTGAACTACTACATATACTATAAGTTATTTTTAAATTATATTGCTATTTTTGTTTTCACTCCAGCAAACCAATTTGAAAAACTTTTGGTATTACGAAAACAGGACTACGTGAAGTCAATCTTTACAAATATTAAATATATACTAAGATCACTGTGCAAAGATTTACACTGAAATTTTAACAGTAAACAGAAATCTGGTGTCTGTAGAAGTATCTTGCAATAATTTTATATCCACAATAGATACCTTTATGAGTTAAAACCAGTTTTGAATTTATTTTATATACGATCAATAAAAAAAGCAAAGTAAGTATGTGACTATCTGAACCTTTAATATCAGAATCATAGAATGGTTAAGGTTGGAAAGGACCTCAAATACCATCAGGTTCCAAACCCCCTGCTATGAGCAGGGACACTTCACACTAGACCAGGTTGCACAAAGCCTCATCCAACCTGGCCTTGAATACCTCTAGGGAGGGGGCTTCCACAAGCTCCCTGGGCAACCTATTCCAGTGCCTTACTACCCTCATGGTGAAGAATTTCTTCCTAATGTCTGACCCCAATGCCCCCTCTTGAAGTTTTAAATACATTACCCTTGGTCCTATCACTACAAAAAGTTTTCCCCAGCTTTCCTGTACGTTCCCTTCTGATACTGAAAGGCTGCTATAAGGTCTCTCCAGAGCCTTCTCTTTTTCATGCCGAACAACTCCAATTCTCTCAGCCTGTCTTCATAGGAGAGGTGCTCCAGCCCTTCGACCATACTTGTGGCCCTCCTCTGGACTCACTACAACAGCTACATGTCCTTTATGTGCTAGGGGCTCCAGAACTGTACACCATACTTTAGGTGGGGTCTCAAGAGTGGAGAAGAGGGGAAGAATCACCTCCCTTGACCTGCTGGCCACACTTCTTTTGATGCAACTCAGGATGCAGCTGGCTTTTCAGGCTGCAAGGACACATTGCCAGCTCATGTTGAGCTTTTCACCAACCAACACCTCCAAGTCCTCCTCAGGGCTGGTCTCAATCCATTCTCCACCCAGCTTGTATTCCTGCTTGGAATTTCCCTAACTCAGGTGTAGAATCTTACACTTGGCCTTACTGAACTTCATGAGGGTGGCATGAGCCCACCCTTCAAGCTTGTTAAGGTCCATCTGGATGGCCTCCCTTCTCTCCAGCATGTTGACCTCACCACACAGCTTGCTGTCATCAGCAGGTTCCTGTGGGTGCACTGAATTCCACTGTCCGTGTCACCAACAAAGATGTTAAACAGTCCCATGCCCAGCATCAACCCCCAAGGAACACCACTAGTCACTTGTCTCCATGTGGACATCAAGCTGTTGACCACAATTCTTTGAGTGTGACCATCCAGTCAGTTCCTGATCCACTGAGTGGTCCATGCATCGAATCCATATCTTTCCAATTTTGAGACCAGTATGTCATGTGGAAAAGTGTCAAACGCTTTGCACAAGTACAGGTAGATGATATCAGTTGCTCTCTCCTCTTCCACCAATGCTGTGACCTCACTGTAAAAGGCCACCAAATTAGTCAGGCATGATTTGCCTTTGGTGAAGCTGAGCATCTTCAGCTTTAGCAGAGCTTTCAAGAGGATCTGCTCCATGAACTTGCCTGGCACAGAGGTGAGGTTGACTGGTCTGTAGTTCCCTGCATCTTCCTTTTTAACCTTTTTGAAAATCAGGGTTATGTTTCCCCTTTTCCAGTCAGTGGGAACTTCACCAGACTGCCATGATGTTTAAAATATGCTGGAAAGCGGCTTTGCATCTTCATCTGCCAGCTCCTTCAGAAGCCATGAACAGATCTTGTCAGGTGCTACGGACCTGTGTACTTTCGTGCCTTTCAGATGGGCTCAGACCTGCTCTTCCCCTACAGTGGGTATATATTCCTTCTCCCAGTCCCTTCCACTGCCTTCTGCAACTTAGATGGCACAGCCAAAATCCCCGCCAGTGAAGACGAAGGCAGAAATGTCATTGAGTACCTCAGCCTTCTCCATATCATGCCTCATCACTGACATTAACTGTAGAAGCTTTTATTGTTACCCTTGATGTCCCTGGTCAGATTTAATTCTATCTGGGCTTTAACTTTCCTAACTTGATACCTGACTGCACAGAAAACTTTGTACTCCTCCCAGGCTGCCTGTCCATGCTTTCACTCTCTGTAGACTTTCTTTTTACATCTAATTGTGTCCAGGAGCTCCTTGTTCATCCATGCAGGCCTCCTACCATTCTTATCTGCCTTCCTCTTTGTTGGAATGCATTGCTCCTGGGCTTGGAAGAAGTGATCCTTGAATACTGACCAGCTTTCTTGGGCTCTTCTCCCCTCCAGGTTCTCATCCCATGGTTCCTGAGCAAGCAGATCCCTGAAGAGGTCCAAGTCTGCTCAGCTGAAGTCCAAGATAGTGAACTTGCTTTGTACTCTCCTTGTTGTCCTAAGGATCCTAAATTACACCATTTCGTGGTCACTGCAGCCAAGGCAACCTTATTACCTAATATACTGTTGCATATTCCAAAGGAACAACAGATGCAAGGATACCTTTGGTAATTAGACACACCACTTTAGCAAGTGAATATTCTCAATATTGCTTTAGTTATTAGAATGCTAAGAACATTACTAATTTTATAGAATTTTCAATCTTCAAAGACTTCACATATTTCTTTAGTAGGTCAAGATAACAAGGTACTTCCATCAAGGATGATCAGAACTGGCTACTGAACTTGAACACTGAAACTTGAGAAAATGGATAATAACTTGTTTCAAAAGCTAAAAGATTCAAAACAGAAAAAAGCTACATTCAAAGAGTGCCTCCATCTTTTAATCTCAGAATTCAGTCAATATTACAATGACTTCTGCAGCAAAATCAAAGTTATTGAACAGGTATTTATTTCTCTTATGAGTCCAACATTATTACTCAACTATATAATAACTTCTGCCCTAGGAGAAAATATTCAGAAAAGTTCACTTCAAAGTCTCTTTCTGTCTGGGACAAAGTACCAGTACCCCAAAGTTGTTTCTTACAAGAGCACTACATTGATGTTCAGCTGAAAGCTACCTAAACAGCCCCAAATCAGAAGACGTTTTTCAAAAGCATGGAATTCTACTCCACAATTTACCAACAACACTGTAAAGCCAAAAACATCAAATTTGAAGCTGTGGGGAACTTTGGACTGTTCTTCCAAAATGAAACCAGCTCAGCTTGAAACTGTACCTTATGTAACTTACTGATGAAGTTCATATACTCACTTCTAGTGGTATGCTTAACTGCTTACAAAGGCTTGATATACCAGGTCACAGAGTACTTTGGGAGGTGCAGATTTGCAAGCTTACCCATCTTGCAGGAGAAGGTGGAAGTTTTTAAAAAGCACCTTCCTACAAATCTTCTGAATGCTGGCAGATCACTCTTGAGTTCATTCAATACAAAGCTAAACACTTCAGTCTAATTAAGCAAATTGAAAAGTCTCCAGTTACACAAAACTGATAAAAAAATGACTGCTTTGAAGTTCAGGAGAGAGATCTTAAAAGCCTGCCCATCACAGGTAATACTCTTTATGGAAATTTACACAATATTCCTAAGCAGCTGTACTAAGATAGCAATAGCAAATGGAACAAAGGAAATTCTTCGCTATGATGGTGATGAGACACTGGAACAGGTTGCCCAGGAAAGTTGTGGAAGGCCCATCCATTTTACTATTCATGGGCAGGAAGATGGGGCTTTGAGCAATCTGGTGTAGTGGGAGGTGTCCCTGCCAAAACACAAGGGTTCGATCTAGACGATCTTTGAGGTCCTTTCAAACCATCCTATGATATGATTTTATGATAAATGAAGAAATGCTAAGCGTATTATAAAATGTTAAGAAATCAGATTATATTTTGGAAATGTTGCAGCTCTTTTATCCAGTATGCAAAGTGTTGTTAATCTAAACGTTATTTTAAGCTTGTATTTTGATATGAAATCATTGAATATTACCCACTGCCAGCTGCAACATTAAAAATTACACAAGTCTAAACAGAAGACAAAACTCCACATGATGAAAATTTCAATCAGTGTAAATCACTGGAGTCAATATTTATGACTTTGTTACATTCATAGGTTTCAAACCAATACAACTGTGTTTCCTACAAATTACTTCTAGTGGAACAGCATAAAAACCGGACAGCTACATAGTATTTCTAACCAGTGAAAAGTGTAAATTTGTGACTAAAATTAAAATTTAGAAAAATTTTATTTCCACCAACTACTAGGCTTTATGTTTAGCATCTCATTTACTACTGAGTTTCTAAATACTACCATCAAAATAAAAATCTTGAGTCTGCCTGTATTGTAAAAAACAAGATTTTCAGAAGATCAGAAAAGAACATTCTCTCTATTAACAGGTAATTGCAAGCTAGGGCTGATCCCTATAGGAAACATGAATCTAGTTTAGCATTTGTAATCTACACTGCAGATTTCTACTTACAATAATCAATGGCTTACTATATGCTTAATGAATTTTGTGACCTTTAGAAAAACATATGTGGCTTAACCCATTTCAGTGCATTTAATAATTTAAACTTCCAAAGAAAACATTTACATTGTTCAATAGAGATGAGAATATTTTATCCACCTGTGATAAGCGAAATTTTATTTCTTTGACAGGAGATCAGTCTTAATTACAAAGCCATTAATTTTTTTTTTCGTTTTAGTAAAGAAATGTATTAGCAAACACCTGCCAGTCATTGGACTGAAGAAGCCAGAAGAACAGAATCAATACTTTTAAAAACCAGCATGATCACTTACATAAAAAATTTAAAACAAAGCATGTCTATATTCAAATGTGCAAGGCATTCAGGACACAGGACTCCTGGATGGTACGAGCAGAAGTATGAGCAAAAGCATTTTAGTAAAATGTAACATGAATAGCAGCACACATTTACTACTGAAGCTTCAAAATTTGTCTTCTCTATTACTGTATTTCATTATAATAGCTTTTTTTTTTTTTTAAGTATGAACTAGATAAAACTGTCTCTTTTGTCTTCATATACAACGTGACAATTATAAGCCAAAAACTGAAATTAAAATGCAATATGGCTTCTCAGGAAAACAAGTGACAAAAACTTCAACTCCATAGAAGTACCCTCTGAAGAACTGTGTTCAAAATCAAAAAGGCATCACTATTTTTAAAAACAGTAAAAAGAAATGCAACTCTGAAAGTGTTAGTTCAATAAACTAGGCCTTACTTGTCATCATATAAATAAAAGCAGTAGGATCTTTTTGTCCTTTAACGACTTGCCTGTTTCAGAATACATTATTATTTAAGTGGTTCACAGTATTTTCACAACTGACTGCGTAGAAGTGCTTGTTTTAAAGAGAGGATTACAAATTTCGAATTATGAAAAGCCAAGTGCAAGGAAATCACATCTCAGATTCCCAAAGGTTCACTGAATTCCATCAATTTAATCATACACATCACACTTCTTTAGCAAATATCCCTTTGAAAACAAAACAATTTAGCAGAAAAGCAGCCTTGCTCTCAACTGTCAAATTTAATGGAAAACATCAAAATAAATGTAAAAAGAAAAAGAAGAATCTGGACAAATACAATTACCTTTTCGCAGAATCATAAAAAAACCCTACAGAACACATAGTAAGCCCAACACCAAAAGTAGCCTTACCCCAGGTATAAAGGTAAACATGTTGTATTTTTGATTTTTTATGGCATTTTTGGGGTATTTTTCTTCACACTTCTCAGGACACCCAAGCCACACTGTGCGAGCCTTCAGGTCTTTCTTTCTTCGGCATATGTTTATAAGCCAATCAGAACAACTGAAAAGAAAAACAATTGTTTACTTACAAACAAACAGAAAAACACTACGTGTGATTACTATTTCCAAACCTGGAACCCTAAAGACAAATAACTAAGAAAAACAGGCTTAAACATTTTTGCCACAGCTAAATAAGCACGCATTATGTTAGATTGTAGTATTTAGGGAAATTACACAGTACTCAAGTCCTTCAGACATAAGCATATATAAACACTTGCACATTCTTTATAGGAAATCCTAATAAAACAATTACAAGTTTCACTACACCTTGCCCTGACACAGGTTAAAAAAATTCCAATTAATACAAGTCCCCCACTCTTAAATAAGTAACTCATCCATCAAAACTTAAAAGTCCTTTGGGTAAACTTTTTATGTGGTATAACTGATACTCAAATTATGCTAAAGATTGAAGAGGAAATTAGGCTTCTGTTAGATAAAGTTAGAAAAATGTCAACAGCTTGGTATAAAATTTCCACAATGTTTAAAATCTTAGTTTCCTCCATAAGACTGCCTGTAGCAGACATAACAGGGAACCCTACCTAACACTACATAGTCAAATGTTTTCAACTGAAAAAAAGAAACAATACACTAAAAAACAACCATGCCTGCACAACAATCAGTAATAGTGAACTTCAGTTCATGGGAAAAAAAATCTTAAAAAAAATCTACTGAAGAGAGTTTAAACTGTGTGCAATGAGGTAAGACAGGAAGAGCTCACAGTCACCTTTAAACAGCTGCAATTTGGACAAGGACACATGAATGATGGGATGAGATCACAATGGAGAAAGAACAAAAGGCAGGCAAACAGACCAACAACAGTAAAATAAGAAACAAACAGATATGACAACTCACATAATATAATCAGCCTAAGACTTGCTAGGACTATCGACAGAGGCAGATTATTAATACAGATGAATACACATGGTTTGGAAAGAACTGGTAGTGTGGAAAGAAAAGCAAGCTTGCTATACACTGTATATACTTGTTTTACAATCCCATATGTTATAGGATAATTTCTCTGCATTTTTTATTACTGGGAGGAGATGCCTTAATCACGCTGGGAGTCTCTTTTAGGCAAGTAAATCAAGAAGACTGAGCAGACAGACTTTCTATGAGGATCTACGCTAGCCAAAGCACAGACTTAGCTAGTCACAGTGGATTTCAGCTACATCAGTAGATGAAGTCGAAGGTAACTGACACATCTCCTAGTGAGGTTTGTGGATAAATTGATAATATTTTTTATGCAGAAGTGACCAATTAAGTGACCATTAGAAAGCTCTTAAAATTGTATTCAAACCCAACAAAAGGATTTTGCTGAGAGTAGGAGTTGAAAATTACAATCCAGTCACCCCAGCACTGTTTCCTGGATAAATTCAGTAGTCAACTTATTTGTATGTATTTGCACACACCTGAAAGAAAACAAAATAATAACCAACACATCAGCAACCTGTAAAACGTAACTAATTTCCCTCTGAGAAGAATCAGTTGCACCTCTGCTCTCTCTTGGCTTCCAGGGCTTTGCACACCCTGACCTAAGGAAATATGTCCCTGTCCATGGCCAGGACTAGACAATCTTTAAAGGTTCCTTTCAACTCAGATCATTCTGTAATTCTATGTCTCTAACAAAGGTTAGCCTTCAAAGTATTTCTCATAAGGAAAGTAAAGGAAGATACTCTTGGAATTGAAAGAGCTGAAAAAATTCTAACTGAAAAATAATTTTCTGTGTACTTAACTATTGAATATTTCTTTTTTTTTTAGGCAAGAAAAAGCTAGAAGAGACAAGAGTACACGCAAAGAGGAGATCAGAATTCAAGCTGTCTTGACAGATTAGAAAAGCTACCTGGAAGAGACAGAGCACAGCTACGCAAGCAAAAGTGCAATGCAATACTTTTACAAAGAAATAATAACCTATGCAAATACAGATTTGGAAGAGAGTTAGCAGGTGGCAGCTCAGTTACTGCATGAAAATAATAAGCATGAGCAAAAAAAAAAGTATCTATCTGGTCAGCATCGGCAGACATAGTGCTAATAAGTCATGAATGTAAATCCAGTGCTAGCAAAATCTCAGCTGGCTTACAATACCATTTTGATGCTAGATTTCAACAAACAGGCCTAGTAAGAAAAAAAAAATCACACACAAGAGCAACAAAACAAGCGTAGGTCTAGAAAGGGCACGTCTGTCTGCTAAATACACCAAAAGAAACCAAGCTGTTCAGAAAAGACTGTAAGTGGGCCTAATATGGTTTCAAGTATGTAAGAAACTGCTGCAAAGAGGGAAGGGACGATTATTTTCTAGGCCCACTATCATGAAATAATGACAGATTTCAGCTGCAGCAAATAAGGGGGGGGGAGGAGCAGCAGACACTGAGTACATTCTTTAAACTAGGGTAGAAAGAAATACTTGAGGCTGGAATTGCTACCACTGAAGGTCTCAAAGTTCTGTTTAGAGCAGACATAAGTGATACACGTAATGATTTGGTGCAGTCAAGGAATCTACTGGATAATCTCTTAAGGTCCTTTCCCATTTTATTTTTCCACAATTACGGAATCACATTATGCACAAATGTGCAAGGAAGGAAGGCTGACAGCTTACATCCCCACCACCCCTCTTAAAATGTTTGTCTGTAGCCTGCATTATCCCCTGCATATTACAAACTAATTTTGCCAAAGAACAAATGGAATGCTATGCTGCAGTCTATTTTCAAAGAAAACTGAAAATTATGTAATAAAATCCTTCAAAGCTACACTCACTTTGTTATGGAAATGCGACTACACTAATACCACCAGGTAACATTTAAAACACTCCACTTTAAAATGCTGTATGCATATGATTTCCTCCCTGAAACCTTCACTATGGGATGGACATCAATTTCGCCTTATCCTATCTATGTAAACATGTAATTCATTTTTGTTACAAATATAAACCAATCAGCAACTTTTCCCACCACTTTTAAATAGTGTCAAAGATTTATTCCATGGTAAAAATTGTAAACTGCACCACTGTTGAGTTCAACATTCAAAATTCAGCCCCGTTTTTAGCAACATAAAAGTCTTCAAAGCAGAAAGACTGCTGTTCATTTTATGTCACAGTTCCACAACCACTTTAATAGTTGTGAACCTATCCTGCTGCTGAAATGGCTGTTACCAGCCTCCTCCCATAAAAAAACAAATGGATTCTCACCCCTTTCCTTGTGCAAACACAACTGCTCATGCAACTGCCTGGGTAAAATGAATCTACAAATTGATTCACCCGTAAACTTAGGCAGAATAAAAGGGAGTACTATTTTCCAGTACATCCACTCCAAACTTCAAAATCTATAAAACTGTAAAAATAGTTGAAACTATGTAGACTACAGGCTTGCAGGAGTAGGTGGAAAGACTCCACTATGTGCCAGCTTGGAGTTACACCTGCTAAAACTCGATTTTAAAGCTTTTGAAGTTTTAGTTTTCAGAGCAGGGGAGTAGAGAGGATAATACAAACAGAAAAGACAGGTCAGCTGTATAGTAAGAAGTGCTGAGACAGAATGCTGGCAAAAAAAAGGTCCAAGGAATATATTTTTTTTTCTGGGAAAAATGAAAAAGCATTACAGCTTCTGTCTACGAGCCCATAGAAAGAAATTTCCTGACAGCCTTTGAAATCTTGCATTGCTTAAATCTGGTTTTGAATTTAACTATAAACAGACTGAACACTAACTAGGCATAATCTCTTTTGTAAAATAATCTACTCAGACAATGAGGCCTTTTCTACTGCTAAAATAAAAAAAAAATTACTAAAGCAACTGAACTACAGTGCCTTCCTTGGCATGGAGTTTCCCTGTCTTGAAACTACATTTTTCCATTACAGATTGACAAAGAAGCTAAAACAGATGCCATAATGACATTTAGCAAATGCTAACGTGTACAGACACAAGTATGATGTCAGACTGGGAAACAACTGTCATTACTTTAATAAAAGGTATTTGACCAGCACAGAGCTTTTAACACTCGGGATCAGATGCAAGAAAACTCAGGTGATGGATATATTACAGGTTATGTCCAAATCAGTACTGCAATCGTTCAGATGAGTAATCTGAACTATAAAGTAAGATGTAGCATGATCAAGACAAACTTAGATTTTTCTGAAAGCTTTAATGTAAAAGCAACCCTATACTATGGATTCAGTGAGTCAAAGTTTTTTTTTAAGCTTGCTGTAAGTCATGTTACGTACGCTTATACAACAGATTGTATATATGAAGACATTAACTGATGAAAGAACTTCAAGGTATATCTATTAAACAGCTTTTGATCAACCTGCTTCCTTTTGTTTTGAAGCAACAATAACCACAGTCTTCAAACTAGTAAGTGATGCCACATTAAAACAAAAAACCTGGAGTAACTGTTAAAATAAGAACCCTTAACTTTTTCATAAATAGAACATATCTCTCCAAGTCAAAAGCTAAAGTAAAAGTCTCAACAGATGCTGCAGCTCTAATAATAGGAGCATTTTTTATTTTTTCTTTTCATTTCATTACTTTTATCCTACAAGCTTAACTGCCAGTATCTTTCCCAAAACATTGGGAAAAGCATTTTCATCATAAAAGAAAGACAATATAAAAAGCTCTATATTGTCTGCAATGGTCAGCTTTTCCTTATTAGGTTTTAAGTATCAGAAACTAGTTCTGCAAAGAAAGCATACTGTAATTCTTGTACTCAACAGGTAGCTTCAGTAATCAGGCCAAAACCAACACAGTGGACATGTCATTCTTAAAAGATCAGCATTTTCCCATGCTTCTGCATAACAAATGTGTCGCAGAATAATTGAAAGCGTACAGGCCATCTTAGAGCCCAAATTAATCCGAGCATTTGATATCCCCTTCACTTCATATGGAAATGCCATTCAATGGCACCATTTTCATAGGGACAAAGTGTTTTTTGATAACAAGTGGAATGTAAATCTCATGAGAAAGAAATCAATCCAGCCCAAAGAACTGATCTATGTGCATTATAATTTCACAAGCTTGAAGAAAATTTGTAAACTAAAGGGGAAACGACTGAAGCCACAAAACAGCTGCTCTATCACATCATTTTCTTTTAACCGTGCTATGAAAGCAAGAAATAAGCAGTTTAAGAAGTTAAAAGTTATATTGGTTGAATTAAGTCTTCAATCTGTTCAAAATCAAAGACAACATTTCATTATGATTTTTTTTCTTGCAAATGCAGAAATTGTTTACATAGCTGAAGACTTGCAAATAATTATCACATCATTCAGCTCCAATCAACAAGTCTATTGTCTAAACAGAAGTTAAAAGCTGAATAAAGGATTTTTACAAAATCTATTTTAATGTACAGTGAACTTTGTCAAACATTCCATATTTGCTCCTGCCAAAAAGGTGAAACTTTTTCAACTGAACAGTAACAGTTTGTAGCAACAAAAATCTCCAGAACATAAAATTCAAAAGCTGCCAAGTAAGAGATGGAAAACTTCCTCTCACAAAAATGAGATTAATCCTAACAATGCAAGACAGACAAAAAAGACCCTACTGGGTGTACCTGGGGGGGTATTGTTTGTTTGCAACAAGTAAAGTGATTTTGAGTAGAAACACAAGAGTTTCACTGAGAACTGAAAAGAAATCGGGGCCCCTTGAGCTTGGCTCCACACACATGCCTGTTTCCATCCAAAACTGTAAATTCTCTGTCAGAGCAACCACAAGGTGCAGTCTTTACTGGTCTACCTGTTTTGATGAAACGTACACAGGTGTTATCTCAGCAACTAATGCTCTCTACTACTTCAACAGCCGAATTCACCTAATGTATAGTGTTTGAAAAGTGTCTCAATTTTAAGCTATGTCCAAAAGATTAATAGCCTCTTTAAATACTTAAAAATGTTTTTTAAAACTACAATGCTAGTTCTGTAACAAAACATTGCTTCCAAAAGTTATTTATGTATACAAGCGCTGCTTATGTTAACTTTGCTACCTTAACTCCTTCCTGCTATTTTCCAAACACTTATCCCCTATAATAAAATTAATAATTCATGAGTTTTTGTTAAATCACTGCAGAAAAAAACCCAAATTGATGCAGAATACATTTTCTGCAAATAGTAAAGCTGTATAACAAAATTATTTCAAAACTAGGTGTACAAACCAGCTTTGCTTATGTAAAACAACATATCAGGTCTCTTGGAATTTATTAAGTGTCATAAAAACCACCTGTGCAGAGATCTACATCCATTCTACAATCATCTGCCAAAAAATCATTCATTACTTAAGTTGACTCAAAATGTTCCACTCACTTCACTTGACTGATTCTCAGGTTTTATAACTAAATATAAAAAACCTCCACAATTCTTAACCAACCTAATAGCAACTACTGTATTTAGAAATTTGCTAGTTACAATTCTAAGGCAACTGTATACAGCAGAATTTAGCACAAGAAGCTTCTAAATAAGAATCAAATCATAAGAGCTAATTCAAGTTCTAAATCCCTCCAAGGCCACCAGTTACGTGTATTCTTTAACCTTTAAAGATGGAGTGTTAACTAATCATTAAAGAATTAGCTTTTTTTTTTCAGCAACATGAATAAAGTTTATATACTGTCAACACACTAATGCCCTCTTAAAGTAAAAGAAAGTTATAACTCCTTTACCCTGATGTGGTTTTGAGCAGAAGTCAGGAGAAGGCTTATAGACCATATTATGGACTGCAGATTAAGTAAAAGTTTAGGACATGATGTCTCTTTAAAGCCTCTCCTCTTGCACGCCAGTATAGCAAACAGAAGTACACAGCAGAAGCTCTTCAGAACTTTTTTTAATTAACTATTATTAATGTCCTAATAGGGAAAAAGCAGGCAAAGTCATCAAAAAGTGCATGTCAAGTAAATCACTGTGTTCCCATACTCCTGACGTACCATACAATAAACAGTTATTTACTTTGTTTCATAGGTCAATAAAAAGTAGTGGTATTCAACAAACCTAGTACAAAGGAACTTCCAGCCACCACAGATAAACCATTCTAAGCCTCTTCTTCTCTGAGAAACTCTGGCTCTTGGTAGAGTATGATAATCACTCTCATCATTTTCAAAGCCTTCTTCTGACATCATTAGTGGCATTTCATCCAAATGAGAGGACTCATCTTCCACTTGGTACCTGGAAAAGTGAAATAAAAACACTAAATAAGAAGCCAGTAGATCATCTTTTACTACCAGGAATCTGCTAAAGTAAAAAGTTAGTTTTTGTCACATGGAATTTCATTTAAGAAACATTTTCACCCAAACACCTCATGTATTTGCACTGACATATCTACAAGAAATTCCGATTTCAGTTAAAAATACGTAATGCAGCAAAAAGGCCTGCAATAATTGATTATCACTGTATAAAATTCTCCACTTCAGTTTTACATTTCTGGAATGCTTTTTATGCTAAGAAAAAACACTTGAATATTCAATAAGAAAATTCCCCTAAGTGCATGTAAATTGAGTAACTTAATCCGTTCGTATTTTTATACCATTGAGAAGATGTTTGAAAGAAACTGCACTATTACTCACGTTTCCTTTCACAGACTATTAAAAGAACTAGTAAGGATCTTAACTGGAATTTTTGTTTTAAGGAATTAAACATTATAGTCAAGCAAAGATCATTTCCTTGCAAGCAATAACACAACATCCCTAATCAACAAAACATACAACACAAAAGATAAAACTGTGTAGAAAAGCTGACTGCACAAACACAAAATACTTGAAGCACTGAACACAAAAGCAAAACCTTTTAAATATATAAAAATACACTATTAGTCATGGTAGCTAAGTAGCCTTTCAACAGGAACAGTTAATGAAAAAAATATTTTCCCAGAATAAATCAAAAGCTATTCTGCATACTTTCAAAATTTCTCAAATTCTTTACAGTTTGGAAGACCAGTAGACTACCATCAATTTATTCTTGGGGTGTAATGTATCTACCTGGATATTATTCTTGCACTGGGAGCAGTGCCTAGAGCTCAGGAGAAAAAAAAAAAAAAAAACAAAAAAAAAAACAAGCAAGAAAAAGGACTGAGTCACAAAAGAAATGAGTGTTTGGCACAGAATTAGTAAGTTGATTTTTATGAAGCTGTATAGCACAGTTATCTCTTACAATGTATATCCTGGGACTGTCCCATTTTCCCAACAGCAACCTAAAAACAATCTTTATAAAAACAGTAATTAACAAAACAAAAAATCCATTATCTTTATGTGAGAGAGCAGCTGGAGTGCATGGAGCTCTGTCTGGTAATGCATAAGGAGCCAAGTCAGAGCTTCTGGGTTAGGATGAAAAGAGGGGACAGGCAAAGGTGACATTATAATAGGGGTCTGCTACAGACAGCCTGAACAAGAAAAAGGAGATGAGGCCCTTTATAGGCAGGTAAGAGCAGCCTTACATTTGCAGGCTCTGGTCTTCTCTACCCTGCTATCTGCAGGAGAGACAACACATAAGGACATAAATAATCCTGAAGGGCCCTGCAGTGCTTTGACAACAACTTGCTCCTCTGAATAATTTAAGAAGCCAACTAGGAAAGGTGGTCTGCTGGACCTCATACTCAACAAGCATCAAAAGGCTACCTGAGGATGTGAAGGTCGAACAGCCTTGGCTGCAGTGACTATGAGACGGTGGAGTTAAGGATCCTGAGGCCAGGAAGGAGGGTGGCAAGCAAGCTCACAACCCTGAAGTTCAGGATAAGAGATTTGGCATTTTCAAGAACTGCTTGGACAAGTTCCATAGGACAAGATGTTAGAGGGAAGAGAGGCCCAAAGAAGCTGGTTACCACTCAAAGATCAACTCCTCCAAGCTCAAGCAATTTCAATGCCAATGAATAGGAAGTCAGGCAAAAATGCCAGGAGGCCAGACTGGATGAACAAGGAATTAATGTCCAAATTCAGATAAAAAGGGAAGCACACAAAGGGTAGAATTAAGGTCACCCACCTGGGAGGAATACTAAAACATTGTCCAAGCATCCAGGGACAAAACTAGGAAAGCTTTAACTCCAAAGGAATTTAATATTGCCAGGCATGTCAAAGAAAAGTTGTCTGAAAGTTCAAAGGTGACAAAACAAAAACTACAGAACATGTGCACCCACTGCTATAAATGAGAAAGGGGACCTGATTACACAGAACATGGAAAAGGCTGAAGTATGGAATGCTAGCTTTGCCTCAGTCTTTACCAGCAAGACAGGCCTCTAGGCATACCAGGTCTCAGAGAGCAGGGGGAGAGGCTAAAGCAAGGAAGATGAGGGAACTCTTAAGCAAACTGGATATATATAAATCCATGGCCCCTGAGCGATCAATCCATGAGTGCTGAGAGAGCTGGCAGACATCATTGCAAAGCCACTTTCAATCTTTGCTGGATCATGGTGGCTGGGAGAGGTGAACTGCAGAGTGGAGAACAAATGCCATTCCTATCTTCATGAAGGAGGACCCAGGGAACCACAAGCCTGTCGGCCTCACCACAATCCCTAGGAAAGGGATGAACCAGCTCATCCTGAAAACCACTTACAGGCACATGAAGGAGAAGAAAATAATGAGGAGTGGTCCGCACAACTTCACCAAGGGGGAGTCATGCTTGATCAACTCAGTAAACTTCTATGATGAAATAACTGGTGTGGTAGGCTGAGGGAGAGCAGTAGATAGTATCTACTTGGACTTCAGTGAACCCTTTGATACTGGCTCCCATAACATCCTCATGGACAAGCTGTTGATGCCCAAGCTGGATGTGCAGACAGTGAGATGAACTGAAAACTAGCTGGACAGCCAGCCTCAGAGGTGCAAAATCTAGTTGGAAACCAGTAAATAGCAGTCTATCCCCAGGGGTCCATGCTGGCTGCAGTCCTGTTTAACATCTTCATTAGTGATCTGGATGATGGGGCAGAGTACACCCCCAACAAGTTTGCAGATGACACAAAACTGGAAGGAGTGTTTGATAGGCCAGATGCACATGCTGCCACCCAGCACAAACTTGACAGACTGAAGAAATGAATTGTCAGGAACCTCTGGAAGCTCAGCAGAGAGAGGTGCAAAGTACTGCACCTGGAGAAGAACAAACCCCACACAGTAGTATATGCTGGGGGCAACCCAGCTAGAAAGGAGCTCGGAAAAAAAGAACCTGGAGATCCTGGTAGACATCAGGCTGAACACAAGCCAGCAGTGTGCCCTGGTAGCAGAGAAACCTATTAACTCCTGTGTCCAGTTCTGGGCTCCTCAGTATGATACTGAGATACTGGGTAAAGGCCAGTTAAGGGCCATGAAGATAATTAAGGAACTGAAGCATCTCTCCTATGAGGAGAGGTGGGACTGTTCAGCCTGGAGAACACAGGACAGGGTCTTACTAACATCTATAAATACCAGAAAAGAAGTTGCAAAGATTGAGCCAAGCTGTCTTCAGTGGCATCCATCACAGCATGAAAGGCAATAGGCACAAAATGAAATACAGGAGATGTTGTCTGAACATCAGGGAACACTTTTTTATCATGCGCGTGACTGAGCACTGGCAAGGGTTGTCCAGGGAGGATGTGGCATCTCCATCCTTGGAGCTGTTTAAAACTCGTCTGGACATGATCTTAGTCAACCAGCTCTAGGTGTCCCTGCTCAAGCAGGGAGGAGGGTTCTGCTAACACGGAACAGCACCCTGAGCAATATTCACTGCAAAAGCTTGATAGATAAGCTCGGAATTTAAAAAAGAAAGTAACATGACAAACACCAGGACTAAATACAAAAAACCACAATCACTGCATCTGCATTTTACTGTATATTTAATATATTTATATTAAAATTTATTTATGTTTTATATATACACATATAGTTAATAACGTACTGTATATTTCATACAAAAACCTGACCAGAATTCCTTTTCTCCTAGATTTTGTATGTTGTGCCCTGCTGTATACAGGAATACATTATAAAGCAGTTAATTTTTTTGGATGCCAAGAAAGGCAGGTGGGAAGGGAACTACTGTATTTTAGGGTTAGATTTTTATTGAAAAGGTACACCACATACTTTACATTGTCTATGAAATGAACTGGTATCAATACAGTCAAGAAAAGATCTAATAAGGAAAGAGAGAAAAAAACCCAACAATGACCCAAACCATTTTGTTAAGCATTTGTTAACTAGTCATTAACTAGACATTTTATCTTTGGCTGGCAGGCAATGTCCGGATTTCTGCACCTCTGTTGAATAAGACATCATTAAGGGATGTTAGAAATCGGTTAATACCAAATTAGAAAATAATGCATAACTAGGAATAACAAACAACACACGCTCCATCTCCCCCGGATGCAAATCAACTAAATCAACTGAGTATTGGAACACTAAACATGTTCAACTTTGTGAAGAGAAATCTTTATCTGTTTCAAATAATTAAAAAGCACAACCACACTGCAGGAAACACAGTAAAAGTTTCAAACTAAAAAAATACATACATCTTTTTTAAAGTTACAAGTGCCGACAAAATTATTTATGCGAAAACACAGCACAGAAAATGGTTTCAGAATTGTTACCATCAGTACTCACTTAAAAAAAAAAAAAAGGAAAATATAGTATAAAACACAAAAAGCTTGATCTTCACAATTTCGGTTGCAAAAATCTGCATCTGGTATTATTTTAATATGACAATATATTTTCCATTCCCATTCATGGTCACTAAGAAAAAATACTATATAAACAAATTATCTTCACAAAACTGAGTGGTTATTACAGGTTAACATGCATATTGTACTAAATCATATGTATTACTCTCAGACTAGACTAATTTTAACACTAGAAAATAAAACCTATGCTTAGAAAAAACTTAAGAAAGTACATTATTATAAGTTTCCAGTAAGACAAGCTTAGAGATTCACATTCAATGCTTTTGTAATCTCTCCTATCACAGTTTTAACACAGAGCTTTCCATTGCATTGTGGTTTGCTTTTAGACACCCAATTAACAGTGTATTTTTAATACCATCCAGTGAAATCCACCTGTTGCTGTACTGGAGTATGCAGCAACATACTGCACATAACAGATCCCTTTTACTTCTGTACAAAGTTAAAAAGTGTCTACTTCAGAAAATAATATCCTTTATATTCAAAATAACAGAGCAAACATGGTTAAAGTCTCTCTTGAAGGAACATGCTAATA